CACATTGTGTAGTTTGATGGAGATGCTATAGTACTCTAGAAATAACATTATTTTTAGCCAACTAATTCAGAAAAAACTTCATGACTTGTGAAAATAGAAAATATAAACATTTACATTTGAGTAAATTGAAACCAAAAAATGACTGCCTATGTTATTTTCCCCCTGTATCATATCTATATCTAATATTTTAATTTTTTTATTTACCAATTTTTCAAAGATTTTAAATATAAAGCAGTAGTGGTGTAGTGGTAGCAATCGCCTCATAACCAAAAAGTTTGGAGGCCAATCTCCACCACGTTTCTGGTAGTTTCAACTTGTTTCTTTAAGCATCTACATTGTTGGTCAAGGTTTTTTGTTTATAAGTTTGTGTTTATAGTCGAGAGAGGATTCTAACTAAAGTAGCTTTGTTGACTGTAGTGGCCATAATGGCCCTAGGAAATTGAATTAAAAAAAAGAGCAAAAAAAACAAACATAAAAAACTTTTTTTTTAATGAGGCCAATAAGTAAAAAATATGCAAAGTAGCAACCCGCCTTACGGTATATGTACAGTAATATATATAGTGCTGATGGGTAGATATTGGTAGTCCTACAACTATTATTCAGTACTGTGAAATCAAAAACTGCTTACCTCTTGTTTAGAATGGTTTTCATCGCACATTGTAAAGTTTAAAAAAGATGTCATAGGACTCTAGAAACAATATCAGATACAAAGATTTAAGAAATCCAAGTGATATATACTATATATATAACACATATATACACAACCCTCAAAATTAGGGCCGGCATTCGGCAATGCCGACCTAACTGCCAACCTAAAAGTGTCTGAGGTCTGCAAATATTGCCAACCTTGTTTCTATGTTTTATGGTAAGACCTTTGTATTAATTTTTTTTTGCTGACCTGATGCGGACCTCTAAAGAATTGAGGTCAGCAAATTATTGCCGACCTCATTTTTCCTAATTCCGAGGGTTGTATACATATATTGTTTTTATTTTTTGGGATATCGAAATGCATATCCCAATTTCTTTTTAAACTATCTAGACTTACTTAAATGAAGAATTTTATCTTTGTACAAAAACATTAATGCATCCCGACAGAACTCTGAAGATATTGAAAATTGCTGTTTTTAACCCTTTCCATTATGTAGCTTAGGGGTGTTAAATGAAGTAAAATTTTCAAAATGCAAATAAATGAGAAGCCAAATTTGTAGAAAAATTATTTAAAAAATACGAATACAAAAAAAATAATTTTAAATATTGACATTTATCTTGGGCTCAAGCGACTAAATACCCCAAAAAATGCCCCAAATTGTTTCTAAATTATTTGGCTTTGAGCCCAAGGTAAATCTCAAAATTGTTTAATTTTTTTTTTTAATGGGATCATAATGGTCTGAAGTTTCTTTTAGATTATTGCGTATCCTAGTTTTTTCATACTTGTTGTTTAAATTAAAAAAAGATTTAAATTAAAAAAAGATAAAAATAAATAATTTTGGGCAAATACGCTATAAAATAAATTTTACTTTTATTTTTTGCATAAATTATGAAAAATATTCTTCATTTTAAACAACAATTATGAAAAAACCAGGATACACAACTATCTAAAAAATATTTGGACCATTATGATCATATTAAAAAACTTTTCAATGTGATCTAATGGTTTTTAATTTACCTTTTGGGGCATTTTTTAAGGTATTTTGCCGCTTGAGCGATAGGATATTTTTTTTATTTATGTACAGATTTCTAGTATCTTGCACACAACGTAGCAAATATTGCTTTTGTTCTTCTTTTGCAGTGATCAAACCATGAAAATCTTGAATGAGTTTTACTGCTCTTTTAGCTGCATCAACTTTTAACTGCTCTTAAAAAAAGAATTTTTATATTTCCCTCTTTATAGGCATCATCTTCATCCCACAATGGGTTTCTAAAGAAAGTTCTTCTTAGTTTTTAATCAAGAGAATAAATTTGTGCCTTTGACAGACACAAAATCATTTAATTTTTATGTTCACTACAATGTGGATATAAAAATTAAATGATTTTGTGATTTAAACCAGTTGTTTTCCTTGGTTTGTTCGTTATTTACTTTAAAGGCATCATCTTCATCCCACGTTAAAACAGGATTCTGAAGGAAGTTCTTCTTAATTTTTAATCGAAAGAATAAATTTGAGCTTTTGACAGACACAAAGTCATTTAATTTTTATGCTCACTACAATGTTTTTCTTGGTTTGTTCATTAACTTCATCATTAAAGATTGATAAAACTGTAATTTCTTCTGACAAGTTTCAAATATAATGAAAAAACTTGTTTAGGGCTGCTTTAGAGATCGATTTGTCAACAGTTTTGTATTCCTTAAGCCTCTTTAAAAAGTACAAGTCTTGATTTTGCCCCTTTACCACCAGACTTCATCCCAGCCAAGGCTTCACATATATAACTGCAATAAAAAAACAAATGTCTTTAAGTGCTAGTTTGTCCTTGGCGTTAATTTTGATCTGGGATTGTAACAAACAAATCTTTAAAGAGTAAATAGCTCTAGCCATTCACCTCCATGCATTGCTCCAGGAGGTCTGATTTTAATTTTTTTCACATTATCTCCTCCTAAGAAAATAATAGATAGTTCAAGCAGTTCCCGATAATTGTCACGTACAATAGTTTTTTGCAGTTCTCGATTATAAAATGTCAACAATTCTTTAATTGTTGTATTACTAAAATGTTGTTTGAAAAAATCAGTGTTTGTTTTAATTGCAGTTGGATTAATAGTTTTCCAGTTGTCTCGTAACTTTTTGAACATTGGGATATCAATGCTACTTGTGACTTGGTGGATTTTTGGTTGAAACAAATATTTTAAAACCTGTTTGTAAATGTGATGGCGGCAAGCAAAAAGCAGTAATTCCTTGTCTAGTTTTGTTCCAAAAGTACACAAGCTCCTTTTAATGGTCCTGTATTAGATACTGTTGTGTCACAGCATATTATTTGTACTCTTTCATCAAGGTTCTAGTCATAAAGTGCGTTTAACACAGCTTCAGCTTTAATCTTGGCAGGAAAAGCTTTCCAGTTTTGGTACAGCCAGCAGTTGCTCTTTTTTTCCATATGAAACTATAATTGCTTGACGTTCTTCTTGCGAAATTCTTACATTAAGTCCAGGTAATAATTTCACATATCAATAAACAGCCACCATTTCAGGTATATTATTCTTAAAATCTAATTTTATACATTCTGCTCTATCTTTTCTACTTTGTGTGTAAATGGGTTGAATGGACAATTTGTTTATTCATTTCATCACAGTTCAGATCTAGTGCTTCTACTACAGCCTGAAATAGACAGAATCCCTTATGCTTAACTGAATTATATAAAGCTGAAACTAACTTAGGCGTGATAAAATTTTTCCTTCCTCTTTTTGTAGTAGTTTCAGAACTTACCATTTGAGAGGTTATGTTGATCGTAATGTTCTTGTGTTTGTATAGTTGTAAGAGATAACGATAAACTCGAAAATACTAAGAAAATACCTTTTTTATTGCTTCTTAATTCCACTGCCATTTCTTAGATGTAAAACAATGTGTTAATCACTAGAATAACTGAACCATTTTACAAAGTTAAAAGATCTCTAGAAATCTTTGCAAAAATTTAGTTGAAAATAAAGCGGCGTTAGCTTTTTAAAATTAAACTTACAGAAGTGTTTAGGTATTTAGCTAAGTAATTACAAAAATCTTTTGAAGTAAAACATTCTTATTATACATTAAATGAGTTTTGTTTTGGACTTAATGTTTTAGTTACACTTTATAAAAACAAATAGGTTTAAGCACTATGCATTTCTTGCTGTTAAATGATGCATGTTAAAAACTTTGATCAAAAAATTCATTTGTTTAGCTTTTTATTGATATACAGTTTGTTATGCTTTCTATTTAAATTATTCAAATTTTAATTAGTTTTAAATGTTATCCAAATATTATCCAAATTTTATCCAAAAAATTGTGTGGTCACTGAGAATAGATTTTTGTTAAAACAATTGGTAGCAAAAAAGTTCCTAATAATTATCAATTTACAACTATTGTTAATAGATAATTACCATCTATTTACTAATATCAATTTTTGTTAAGTTATCAAGATTATAATTATCAATTTTCATTTATCAACTTGCGGATAAGCGCAAATACTCCGCAACTTGTATGAACATGGTTTGAAACAAGTCGGCACGGGTTATCGTACTCCAAATAAGATAAAAATTTATTTTCGAGTGTTTCGAATGCAAACTTACAAAACTATACATTAGAAAAAAAAACTTTGAAAAATAAGGGACTTATGAATATTAATATATATTCGTATGTGTATATATATATACTCGTATGTGTGTGTGTGTATATATATATATATATATATATATATATATATATATATATATATATATATATATATATATATATATATATATAAATATACACATATATATACAGTTAATTCCCAGTAAGTTGAACACTGGTTAACATGAACTTTTGTTATCTCGAACTGTTTCATTTGGTCCCTTGAAATTGTCTACTTGATTACTATTAAAATTATTTGGTTAAGTCGAACATTGGATAAGTCGAACCATTGTCCCCTTTGTCAAATTTCTTCGAATAACTCGAACCTTTTGTATGGGAAATAATGAAATCAAAATAACTTGATTAAAACTTTTTTAGAAGTCATTCCATATAAAACATAAAATACTTTAAGGAAGACATTGTATTGCATTTTTTTGCTAAACTTTTTTGAATATTATCTTTTAAGTGTACAGCGTGAATAAATGTCAGCGTATGAGGAGAGGGTCATTTGCAAATTTGGATCTAGCCATTTTCAAATGGCTTTTGATTGTTCGCAGCAGAGATGTCACTGTATCTACTTTAATTCTCAAAACTAAAGCCATGGAATTTGCTGAAAGAATAAACGTTACAAATTGTCATGCTTCAGATGGTTGGTTAGACTGTTGGAAGAAACAATACAACAAATCATTTAAAACGGTTTCTGGCAAAGCTAATGCGTGTACAAGTGAAATGGTAGCACCATGGGTTGGAAACCACGTTACCAACCATTTTATCAAAATATAAGTTAAACCAAATTTATAATGCTGACGAATTTGGGTTGTTTTATCGGCTTCAACCAAATAAATCTTTATATTTTAAAAATGAAAAATGTGTCGGTGGAAAATACAGCAAACTACGTCTTACAGGATTGGCATCTGCTAATGCATTAGGGAAAAAATTGCCAATTTTTGTTATTGGCAAAGCTAAATCGCCCAGATGCTTTAAAAATGAAAAGCATTTACCCTGCCGTTATAGCAGTCAGAAGAAAAGTTGGATGGATGGCACACTATTCGAGGAATGGGTTTGGCAATTTACAAAGGAAGGACTAAAAATTGTTTTATTAGTTGATAATTGTCCAGCTCATCCAATCATTGATAATCTCAAATCAATAGAACTCATTTATTACCACCAAACACTACCTCGAAGCTACAGCCGATGGACCAGGGTGTGATTAGGTCACTTAAAGCCCATTATAGAACACTATGTGTTTAAAAATTAATAAATGCAATAGAAAAAAAAAACCACTTCCAGAATTTACTATAATGGATGCCATGCAAATGCTTGATGTTGCTTGGGGGAAGGCGAAGACCGAAACTATTTGCAATTGTTTTTGCTGGAATTTCAGAGAAAATGTGTTTTGACACCTCGGTAGATGTAGATGATCCCTTTGAGGATCTCAAAGACCAATTAGAAAAGCTTGCTGTTCATTCACCCGAGTTCTTCCCTGAAGAAACAACAGCAAAAGATGTTGTTTCCATGGATGATTTTGTTAACACTGTCAAGCTGATAATAAATGATGAGGAGATTATATCAGACGTTATAGGAGAAGAAAATTTTGAGGCTGAAAAAGATGAAGATAGTGATCTAGATTTTTTGATCCAACCAACTTGCCCTCAATCGGGTGATGTACGTCAAGCCCTGGAAGTACTACAAAGCTACATGATATTCAGTGAAAATGGGGAGTGTATTCACAAATGTATAAACCAAATAAACTTAATTGTGGAAAAGAATTATCAGAGAAGCTAATACAAGCGGATATACGTAGCTTTTTTCACTGAACTTTTTTCACCCTTTTTATTACTATAATAGTGTAATTTTAATGTTTATACTTTAGTATTGAATAAATAAAAATCGCCTTAACTGGAACTAATATCTCATTTCTGTCAAAGTTCGACTTATCAGGACTTCGCTTAAGTCGAACCATTTTACTTGGTCCCTTGGAGGTTCGAGTTATCGGGAATTAACTGTGTATATATATATATATATATATATATATATATATATATATATATATATATATATATATATATATATATATATATATATATATATATATATATATATATACAGTGCATATGTAAAGATGCCTGTAGCCCTAAAACTATTACTTGGTTTTGTGAAATGAAAATCTGCTTACCTCTTGTTCAACATGGTTTTCATCACACATTGTGTAGTTTGATGGAGATGCTATAGTACTCTAGAAATAACATTACTTTTAATCAGCTAATACAAAAAAAACATCATGATTTGTGAAAATAGTAAATATAAACATTTATATTTGAGTTAAATTGAAACCAAAAAAATGACATCTTTGTTATTTCCCCCCTGTATTATTTAATTATACAATATTTTTTTCTCTATTACAAAACATTTAGTGGTTTCAAATTTAAAGCAGTAGTTGTGTAGTGGTTGAACGCTCGCCTCATAAGCAAGAAGTTCCAAATTTGACTCCCACCACATTCCTGGTAGTACCACTCTCAACTCGTTTCTCCATGCGGGTACCTTGTTGGTCAAGGTTTGTGTTTAGGAGTTATATAGTTAAAAGAGAATTGCAACTAAAGTAGCCTTGTTGACTGTAGTGGCCATCATGGCCCTAGGGAAGCAAATTAAAAAAAAAAAAAATCTTTTTTTTCAAATGAGGCTAATTTGTAAAATATTGGAAAAGTAAACTCCTATCTCATAATATACATACAATAATATATATAGTGCTGATAGGTAGATATTGGTTGTCATATAAATATTATTTAGTTCTGTGAAATCAAAATTTGCTTACCTCTTGTTCAAGATGGTTTTCATCACATATTGTAAAGTTTAAAAACGATGTCATAGGACTCTAGAAAGAACATCAGATATAAAGAATTAAGAAATTTAGGTTATATATATATATATATATATATATATACATATACATATATATATATATATATATATATATATATATATATATATATATATATATATATATATATATATATATATATATATATATATATATATATATATATATATTTGAAATCAAAATCTGCTTACCTCTTGTTCAAGTTGGTTTTCATCACATATTGTAAAGTTTAATGGAGATGCCAACGGACTCTAGAAACAACATCAGATACAAAGATTTAAGAAATTCAAGTGACATACACATGCAAGTAAAGTATATTTGCAGCTTATCTAAGATTTAGTTCAAATTTAGTTATAAGGGACAGACATCGATACCCTTGGTACTTAAGCAAAAGTTTACTGTTATCTATTTACCTCTTGATTGTTTTTTTTGGAGTTTAACCTCCACAATTGCTTTGCTTAGACATTTTTCCTAAAATATCATTTTCTAATAAAAATGACATTACAAAAAGTTTAATAAAAAATTTACAATTGTATGCCTTTCTAAACAATAATCTACTTTATAGAACAATAGTATATATACAATAGTAACAATAGTAGATTATTGTTTGGAAAGGCATACAATTTTTATTAGAAAATGATATTTTAGGAAAAATGTCCAAGCAAAGCAATTGTGGAGGTTAAACTCCAAAAAAAACAATCAAGAGGTAAATAGATAACAGTAAACTTTTGCTTAAGTACCAAGGGTATCGATGCCTGTTTTTATGAGTGTTTTGATGACACATTAGTGTTTAATGGAAATTTAAATGCATAAATGTTTTTATAAAGTTCCAGCTAGAGTTGTTAGCCTTTGGCCTTGGCCTGGTCTTAAGGGTGAAAATTGAAGCCTTGGCCTTGAAACTGGTGGTCGTGGCCTGTTTTAGCATTTTTCTTAAAAAAAAAATACATATTTTTTTTTGATTTTTTCGAATTCCGCACATAACTTTGGTCTATTTTTACAAAATATGGTTTTATTTTTACAGTACTTGCTACTTACAGTTTTGTGGCCTTAATGTAAGACAAAAATTGAAGTCTTAAATCTTAAAAATCTTTGCATACGTCTTGGTCTTAAAACTCCTAATCTTGGCCTTGACCTTAAAACTCTTGGCCTTGTTAACAATTCTGCTCCCAGCGACAATCAATGTTATATTCTAGTGTCAACAGATCGACACAACTAAAGTGGTGCAGATGGCCATATTAATTTTTGCTTATATTTTGATTGACATTGCTTAAATAAGATATTGAAAGAAAATCATTTTGGTAAATTTTGATTAATAGATATAAATGAAAATATAGATATTAAAAAAAAAAAAAATTGATTTAAATTGATATCAAAAAATTAATGTCTGTGTTATTTTTCCCTGTATCTTAATATCTTATTTGTTTGAATCCCTGATTTTTGTCCCTGAATTTTGCAGGCCCTAATTTACTATTTTCACTTATTCACTGACTCACTAAAACAAGCAGAATCTCGATAAGAAAAGAACCTCTACATTTAGCAAAAAAGAAACTTAATTGAACTGAATGGCTTAGCTCTAGTGCCACTAAAACTGCAATCAAAAGCAGATTCTAATGACTGTGCTCTCGAAATTGATTACAAAAAATCAATGCAAAAATGTCTAACATTAAAATGTCTATTATTCACATATTAATTTTTCTTGAATTTCATCTAAGAAGTTTCTAGAGACTTTTAGAAAATCATTATCAGTGCCATCAACAAATGAAAATCTAATATTTTATCTCTCATTTATGCATCATATTTATTTTCAAAGAACTTATTTTCTAATTCTTCTCCCGCATCAAATGACTACACTCAATTGAATATAAAGACTTAGATGTAAGAACTAAGCAAAAATGTGTTGCAAATGCTGATATATATCTTCTATAGTACATATATATATATATATATATATATATATATATATATATATATATATATATATATATATATATATATATATATATATATATATATATATATATATATATATATATAATATATATATATATATATATATATATATATATATATATATATATATATATATATATATATATATATATATATATATATATATATATATATATATATATATATATATATATATATATATGATTTGAATGTTGACATCTTGTATGAGAGTATATATATTAAAAATATAAAAACATCAATTAATACGAGTTCTCTCAATACTATTGTTAATTTATTTGAAATTTTCGCTGGATTATAGTTAACAGCATGATCAGCTATAATATCGTAATTAAAAATTAAAATCATTGTAATTTTTACTAATTTTTACTAATTTTTTTAATAAATTTAATTTCACTTATTTTATATATTTTATTATTTTACTAAATTTTACTTTTAATTTAATTGTAATGAATTTCAAAAATATTTTGTTTATCAACCCAATTTTATTTATCTTTTTAAGTTTTAATGACTTTTTATATTTTTAACTTTAATGATTCTTATACAAAGTTCATTGAGTAATGAGCTTTCTTATTTTTCTTTCTAAATTTCTCAAAGTTTTATCAAGTCATTAAAAAAAAAAGTATGCGCTGTTATTGCGAGGATTAAAAATCCCTGGGACATGAGAGGAAGTCGAAGACAGAGGTCGATTTTTTCTTTCAAATTATATATCTTATAAAAATTAACTTCTGTAATCATTACATCACTTATATATATATATATATATATATATATATATATATATATATATATATATATATATATATATATATATATATATATATATATATATATATATATATATACATATATATATATATATATATATATATATATATATATATATATATATATATATATATATATATATATATATATATATATATATATATATATATATATATATATATATATATATATATATATATATATATATATAAAACTAGTTTGAAAAAAAATAAGAAAAAAAAACCTGTGGTTTCAAAACAACATTTTCAGAGGAAAAAGCTTCTCCTAACGATCGAAATACCTAAAAAAAGGAAATTTATATAACAATGAAATGTGAGTGAATAGAACAATGAAATGTGAGTGAATAGAACAATGAAAGGATTTTTAATTACTTATTTCAAAAAATTAAAACTTACAGATGATGCTGTTAACAACTCTTTTTTTCTGAGTGGCTTAAAGAATTATTTACAATTATTGAATAACTTTTCATATAAGAACTATAACATTAAAAAAAAGTTACTTGATAATAACATATTTAAAAAATTTGTAAAGTTTGTAGGCCAAATTATAACTATATAGAAGGATTTTTAACTTATAATTACCAAAAAATGCCGAAAACATTGTTAAATATAATAAAGTACCTTTCCATAAAGAGTTTGCTCAACTTCATCAATTGTGAATGGTTTTAAATAAATTTCCTAAAGAAACAATTTCAAGCAAAAATTTTCATATTATAAGATCAATTGAGAAACAGAAAGAAAATTAAAAAATAAATGAAAATATTTTTATGTTTGTCAACGTACCTGTTATAGTCTTGCAGAAGTGTTCTCCAAAGCTGTTGTCTATACTTTAAAAACTATTTAACAGGTGCTTATCAGATTCTTGTTTTCCAACATTTGTGATCCCTATTTTCAAAAATTTTGGAGAGCAATCTGACTTGTCTAACTACCATCCCATTAGTCTTCCGAATATCATAAGCAAGGTTTTTGAGTCTTTAATTACCAAACACTTACTTAAATCTAATAACTTACTTTCTGATCATCAATATGGATTTTGATCTTCTCGTTCTACTGTTACTGTTATGCTATTGTTACAGACTTTTTAAGGGTAATAACCAATAGGTTTTATCGTTTATTAGAAAAACGAAAAGAGGTTAGGAAAGACGGAAAGAGGTTAGGGCTATTGTTCTTGGCATTTCTAAAACCTTTGATAAAGTTTGGCATGCTGGTCTCCTCTATAAGCTCTATGCTTACAGTGTATTAGGTAACATCTTTTTGATTATTGAATCCTTTCTAACCAATAGTATAAAAGTTATCATTGAAGATTTGCACTTTTTCATTTCCTGTATTTTAAAGGGTTCCTTAAAATACAGGAAATTGTTTTTAACGTTCAACATTCATCCTTTACGCTCAGTTTTTTTTCAGCTAGTTGTTCCGCAATTATCTAGATCTTCCAGTGTTTATGAACGGTAATGTACTCAATGATTCATCTACCCTTCATCTTCTAGGATCAGGGTTGGCAAAAAAAAACCCAACCCAAAAAAACCCAAAACTGATAAGTCTGATTTTAACTCTTATAAATGCTTTATTATTAATAAATTTTATACTGTAAATATTCTTGTAAACATTGTATTTATATACAAAATGATATTTAGGATATAACTTTTAGTTCGAACTCTCTACAGAATAATACAAAAGTGATCAATCAATTTTGTAGGATGTTGGTAATTTATCAAATTTTTTAAACTATATTGCAAGTTTAATATTAAAAAATATTATTGAAATATGTATTAAAATATTCGGGCAAATTAGTAATACTTATAAAGGAAATAAACATTATTCTATTAACTAAATTTCAAATTACAAGAGATTACTAGTTATTTAGTATCATTCTTTTCCTCTTAAATGCCTATATTTTCAAACAAGGGATTTAAAATGGATCTTTATTTTGTAAAATTTATGTTATAAACAGCAAAATTAAGTACAAAGCCACAAGCAGAACACTATATATATAAATTGTTAAACTTTATTCACAGTCTGGAAGTAAAAAGTTGTCAGGCAATAAAAATTATGCTACAGTTTACTGGATTGTAGAGTTGTCCTTGTTAAATGCATAAAACATTAAAACATTAAATAAATACGTCATGCGGATAGAAGTTTGCTCATTCAAGGAGAGAACTTATTGGAAACTTGTATGCACTTCACAAGGACAATGATTGTTGGTGAAAATGATACTAATGCTCTAATAACTACATTAATCTGTCTATTTTACAGTTTTTTTTAATAATTTATCTGCTACAAGTTTACAACATGTACCATCAACAGGAATGACTATGAACGGCAGGGTTTAAATAAACATTAGTACCAAATTTACTGAGGAAACACACACAATAGAACTATATATTGTGCTACTTTGATTCAGTTGCAAAACTAAGGTGATAAAACTTCTTCAAGGCAAAATAAAAAAACCTGGCGGTGAAGAAACAGTAATGGTTCTTATCAAATCCATTTTAGATATCCTTAAGAACAATCTAAGCTTAAGCGTAAATGTACTTGCAAAAGAAATTTATCCATAATAAAAAATAAAAAACATGAAATGTTTAATGTCAATCCATTTTGGCCTGATCAACACTATAGTTGATCAGGTCTACAACTTTTTTAGGAAGCTGTATAGTATAAAATTCTGCTAAAAAAAAAGATAGCGATCAGGCTATTGTTTCTTCTATGATAAATCCTATTTTTTATGATAGATTCTATGTTTATAGTCACCTGATTGATGATAATTTACATCATGTTGCTAACTTGTAGAATACATGTTGTAAACTTTTACGAACTTGTTTCCAAAGTGACATGTGGCACATGTTATTTTAAAAACTAGTTTGCAACATTTATATTATCTTACCAACTTTTGAATAACTCAGTTGCCATAATAATTTTAGTTGTAATTTTTTTAGCCAAAAATATTCAGAACATATTTTTAAATTAATGCAATTAATTAACATCAATTATAGTTGAAGGACAATTAGGGCACTATATATATATAATGTGGTAGTAGACTAGCAGGCTTGGACAGGAAAAACATGAAATTGAATGCTATTGCTGTCCACACAAAAAAATTTTTTTGTTGACAACTTGACCACGACTGTTTAAATGTTTTAGTGATTTGAACATTTCAGAAATTTGCTTAAACTAAGAAAAAAATTAAAAAAAAAACTCTTACAAAAATATATATATATATATATATATATATATGTATATATATATATATATATATATATATATATATATATATATATATATATATATATATATATATATATATATATAAGCTTTAAAACAAAATTCAAAAAAATCAAACTTGAAGCAAAAATTACTTTTTATTACATTTTTAATTGTTTGAATTTCATTTTGTTAAAGTTACTTCTAATTATTGTTTAATAAATGAATAAATTTTAAATTATTGAAAAGTGAAATCAAATTATTAAAAAGAAAAAAATATAGTATTTTTAAATTGCAAAAACATTTTTTTTTTAAATGACAAAATAACAAAGAAATTTGTTAACGCTATGTTAGTTATGATATTAATAAAGAATGCAGCATTGTTGATTTTAATACTGGAAATAGCCATGATTTTATTGTTGATTTTTTGTAACCTTTAGCTCTTTTTTGTATGAACATAAAAAATATAATTTTATTGTTTTAATGAATCTCAACTTTCTACTTTAATGAATTTCTTGGACAAGCAAATTATCAAGTTTCATATTTCAGCTCAAATGAATTTCTTGGACAAGCAAATTATCAAGTTTCATATTTCAGCTCAAGGAGTAACTATTTTTTTGTATTAGTACTTGTATTAGGATTGCACAAAGATTCCTTTGTGCAATCCTAATACAAGTACTAATACAAAAAAATAGTTAACTTAAAAAAATTAAAAACCATTTTAAACAATTTTCAGATAGATTAAAACTTATTCATGAATACTTTTGTAAATATGTACTTATTTTATTTGGTCACAACTAAATATACTTTTAACTGCTTATTAACTGAATCCATTTTTAATATTTCTATTTTAAAAATATCATTTGAACAGTCAATGTTTAGAGAGCTGATTGATATTTCTCTGACCTTGTCAATTTTTTTTTTTGTTCAACCATTTATTCTCTGGTGCTAAATACGAAGGAGTAATTAATTAACTTTTGGAAAATATACCCACCCTGAGTGTATTAAAATTCATTAAATTTATTTGTTTATTAAATTTCACTTATTGCCAAAGAAAACTATCTACTGATAATAATAAAAAATTGGAGTAACCAGGCCTTAAAATGTCCTTAAAATTAAAATTTAAACTAAATGATCAAAATAAAAACTTTGATTGTGATCAGCTCTTGAAAGTTACAAACACTTAACAAGAATTTAAAAAGTTTTTGAGAGTTAGTATTGAAAACTGAATAACTTGGATTATTGTAGTCATACATTTTTGAGTTGTTTGTCAGAATTTCGACCCCAGAATCCTTAGTTTTAATTTATTCAATATACGCGTGACAAAAGCTAAATAGAACCATATTGTAAATTAAAAAAAAATAAGCGCGGACAGTTAGAGCGTGTAATTGCACACCATTTTTGTCCCAAGCCTGGACTAGTAGTAAAACAACTGGCTCACAATAAAAAGGTTGAGGTTCAAATCACCTCTGCGCCCTCTGAAATTACTGTGCTAAATCTGTTTCTTGGCACAATGCCCTTGTTTTAAAATGTTAGTGTTTCTATTGAAAATATATTTGATAACTATAAATTCTATTTGAGAATATTTTTGGACACTGGAGCAATAGGGAGAAAAATTTATGAAATTAAAAAAGAATTACTGTGCACATACATTAATAAAACTTGATCAGTTTTTAAATACTATTAATTAATAAAACTTGATCAGTTTAAAAAAAAACAACCATAGAACCCGAAAAAAAACCATTTGGGTTGGGTTTTTTCCAACCTAGTCTAGGATTAACTCTTACCTCCGACCTTTTTGCTATATCTAGAGCGTTTTATATCTAGAGTGGATTTTCTAATGATGCCCTTTTCATTTTAGACAACATGCAAAAACACATTGTAAACACAGCCAGACCTGCTCTTGCAGGTAACCTTCAAACATTGTCACATGGTTGTAATGTTGCTTCTCTCTTTCTTATCTATAAATACTATAATGGGTGCTGGTCTGAAAAGCTTGCGTTTTTTTGTGCCATCTACTAAATTTCATCTCCATGTTACTTATAATTCAATAAATTCTCAACCTTTTACTGTGATTGTCCCTAAATGCTTAAAAAAAATTTTTTGTCTGTTTTTTTTTCTCACACATCAGTTCTTTTGAATTTGTTTCCTATATCTTCCTGATTCATATAACTTGCAATCTTTTAAGTAATCTGTTAATCGTTATCTTGCTTCTAAAACTTTATCTTTTCTCTTCCAGTACCTTTTAACTATAATAATGGTTGGTTGCAGCCTTTCTGGAAGTGAATATGTTTAAAAAAACAGAAAATTAAATATTAATACAACAAAAAAAGGGTGTTGGAACGCAATTAAACAAAATAGAAACAGAAAGCCTCCATTTAGCTAAATGAAATGGATCTCAACACTGAAAAAAAAATCAGAAAACTAAAAAAGTAAAATTAACATACTTGATATCTCCAAGATAAACTTTCAGGATTCTTAAAATCATAATTGTAGCGTAATTCGATTCCGCAAGGTAAATTTTTTTTGGAAATTAAAATAATGTGAGGAAGACCATTCAACACATATTGCTTGGGTCGACAGTTAGAAAATGCTTCTGGTGAATCATTTATAAATCTTGCCATATTGACACACTCCGTAGCATCAATACTAGAAAACATAACTGACTTAGATCAATACTTAAAACCAAAACGACAATAAGTATGAAATAATTTGCTTTTTTTATAATTAGAAAAGGAAAATAAATTAAAAAAAAAAAAAATTACCTGAATTTTTTTCCATTTACATTAACATCAAAGATAAAACAGCCTTTTCCATTTTTATCATATAGATCATGAAGATGTTCTGCTTCTTCACGGCTGATAATTTTTCCTTTATATTCCAATAAAGGTTCATTTGACATAAATGCTTTTGTGGTAAAAATTCCATATCCTTAATTTAAAATATAGCTATATAAATATATTCAAAGATAATTCTCCAGGACTTTTGCATAAAAAACCTCATGGCTTTTTAGGTTTTAAACAAATTTTACAAATTCCAATTTTTTTAAGGTTTTTTATATAAAACACAAACTACTTATGACGATAATAATAAATAGATAAGTAGAAGAATCCCATGATAAACCTTTTATAAAACCTGAAAAAAAAGAACCCTTAATAAAAATGTCTTAAAAGTAATGAATGTCTTAAAAGTAATATAATAGGACATTTTGAAAATCTTTACAAGTTGTCTGTTTCTGCAGCTATTCCTAAAAATGATGAAAACAGTATCTGTGCAACCCCCTCAGCTTTAACCAATTAAATGATGTTGTGATTAACTCTTTTTAATATTGAGGTTTCAACTGAAACTTCATTATTAGTGATAAATGAGCATTATTAAAGATAAATGTAAACCAGAAACTTTGAATAATAGCAACATTACAAAAAATAAAAAAGTCTTCTCAGAGTCAGTCATAACTTTATTAATAATGATAACTATAAAGAACAAAACTGGATTGACGGATATTGTTATGTTTTAATAACTCATCAAAACAAGGCCTATAATAAGGTTAATTTGCATATGCTAGATAACTTATAAATATATATTATTTATAAAGACTTTCTAATAATTATATGAGAGCATTACCATTAAATACAGCGTAAAATGTTCAGCAATAACTTTTGCAGGTCAAAAATCTCAAATGTCAACTGAGCCTTTAAAGAATTTCAGAGGCTTGGCCACTAGATCTAGACATATTCTTCTATCTTATTCAAAACATAAAAAAAAAAAACGCTTGTTCAATTTTCAATGTAAACCAAGAAAACACAATTTTTACTGTAGAGACAGAAGCTTTATTTATTTATTTATTTTTTTTTGACTGAAGCCTCAAACTTTGCCATATTAGTTGTGCTTAATGAAGTTGGATCCATTTTAGTAATCTCAAAAAAAGTAAACAATACTATTCTTGAGTGAAGAAAAAAGTTCACGTGATCAAAAATATGTGTCAAAATATTGCAGATGATTTCTTAATCATCTGCTATACTTTGAATAATCACATGACATTTTCTTCATTCGAATCATTCAAATCTCTTTTTTCATTCGGCAATTATAAGACTACTATTATACCATTCTAAAATTTTATTAATATCATATTGTAAGGATAAACAAATTATTTACTTCAGCTATTATCTTTGAATCAGCTTATTATCAGCTAAATCTTTAAAATTTTCAAGAAGACTTCAGATTACAGATTTGATTTTAAGTTGGTAGATTAGCAGATTTTGGAATTTTAGAGTAAATAAAATTTTTACTCACTCTGAAATTTCAAAATCTGCCCTTACTACCATAGAAAAAAGTTTTACCAGATGCTACATGCTACAAGATCTATATTATTCTCTTATATTTCCACATAAACTTTTTTTAAACTTTAAACAAAGATTGACATCTAGGTCCTCGGTTCCTTGATGGAATATTAATCCAGAATCTAGTTTTATATAAAAAAATACAATAAAAAAAAATATTTTGTAAATGATATTCAGATCATTGAATCAAAACCTTATTATACTTATGTTATGGTCATGAAACTACAGTGAACTACTACTGAGCAAGTGGTTTCTAAATACCTTTAAGAGGAGAGTGAATGTTATAACAGTGGCACCTGTTTCTTCTTTTTTTCAGTAGGTGTGTGCAGTGTCAATTCTATTAAAATCAACATTTTTACTGCACACTCCTACATTAAATAAATAAATAAATATATATATATATATATATATATAAATATATATATATATATATATATATATATATATATATATATATATATATATATATATATATACATATATATATATACATATATATGTATATATATATATATATATATATATATATATATATATATATATATATATATATATATATATATATATGTATATATATATATATATATATATATATATATATATATATATATATATATATATATATATATATATATATATATATGTATATATATATGTATATGCATATGTGTATATATATATGCATATATATACACATATGCATATACATATGCTTCTATAAATTATTTCACTTTCAGAAGGTTCATCAGAAAATGCTGTTTAGCCTGTTATATAGCGTTTATTTATACTGAGACTAACAGAATTATAGCTTTTTAAGCAAATAGAATACTTGTGAACTTATTTGGTTATACACTTGCATAATTCAGTTGAAATTCTATTTTAAATAACTTCTAAAACACAACATTACCTATATCACTATTCATAAAAACCTTTCTAAAACCAATCGAAGGATCTTCATTGTTGCATAAGGTTTCCCAAAGAGGCGTATTAAATCGATCTCTTCGCTAAATATTTTAATCAATTATTTGTATTTTGTATCAAAAATTACTTATTGTTATATGAAAAACATTCTTAAATGCTACGTTGTTATAAGTAAACTTCTACATACCGGATAAAGTGTCTTTTTGTTGCAAAAAGTCATGTAAATAATCAATCACTCAAAGATTTTTGAAAAAAAGGAGTTTAAATTGTTTTAACCAATATTAATAATTTTATTAATGACCATAAACTAATTTATAAACTTAATAAGCCTAAAAGTCACTTATAAATCAAAGTTTTAGATAAAAACTGTTAGGCTAGTATAAAATTTTAAGTTTTGCTAAACATAACATTGTATATCAATTATTTATTTATTTTTTATTATTTGGCGTTTTATTTTTTTTATTAACTTATTTTTCAAAAACTTGATCTAATCAGCAAATCAACATTTAGGAAGATATTTCGCATTTTGGAAACAAATGCGCAACAGAATTATAGCTTCTAGGAAACATATTCGCAATTTAGAAACATTTGCGCAAGTAGCATTTGCGCATAAATGGAGTGTTTGCGCAATTTAGAAGCAATTGCGGAAAATTCAAGCATTTGCGCAACAGCAATTGCGCTATTTTGTAGCAATTGCGGAGATCACGATTATTATTATTATTATTATTATTATTATTATTATTATTATTATTATTATTATTATTATAGTTGTAGCCGTAAATTTACATAGAATGTACACATACAGCGAGCAGGGAAAACACCCCACTATAAACAACCAGTTTTATAAATATTTGTTCCAAACTTATTCCACAACCAGGAGTCTAGTCTATTTTTGAAAGAAAGTACAGTGGAGTACAAAGTTATTTGCTCTGGTAGTTTGTACCAGTATTTTGCTGATCTATTATATACAAATGATTATATCTTGGAAGACAGTTTGGAACATACTCACGCCTTATTTTAGAATGGTGACCACGAGACATGGAGTTAATATATTTTGGTAGATATTTATCATTAACTATATCAAAATGATGTATTAGTTTAAAAATTTGGATTAAATCGCATCGAAGGCGTCGAAACTCAAGTGATGGTAGATTTAATCTTTTTAGCCTTTTGCAGTATTGAAGATGCCTCGAGCTGTAAGCCTATTTTGTTGCTTTGCGTTGAACAGATTCAATCAAAGCCATATCAGCTTTTAAATAAGGAGCAAATGGACACTCCATATTCAAGGTGTGGTCTTATGAATACTTTATATAATTTGAGAGCCATTTTTTCATCAATGAAAGTGAATGTCTTTTTCAGCATACCAAGAATTTGTAAGGACTTAGAGACAACTGTTTGAATATGAGCACTCCACTTGAGGTTAGATGTAAAAATGACTCCTAAACCACGTTCTTTATTAGAGCCTCTTAGACATTGGTTGATTCCTTCGTTATTTTGCAGAAAGTAATTGTAATGGGGGTTGTTTCGACCGTAATGAATGACGCAGCATTTTGAGGTGTTTAACTTAAGTAACCAAGTGTTTGACCACTCGTATACCAAGCGTAGGCGATCCTGCAGATCAACAAAATTAGATTGCGATAAGGTTTTAGAAAAAAGTTTAGTATCATCGGCAAATATCTCAGAAGTTTCAGTGAGTTTTGCAAGATCATTTGTGTAGAGAATGAAGAGGAGCGGGCCGAGAACAGAACCTTGAGGAACACCACTGAGAACATCAACCCATGCAGAGTTGGTATAGTTTATTTTAACGCGTTGCTTTCTGCCCACTAAAAAGGATTTAATCTATTGTAGGAGTTTGTCGTTTATTTCGAAAGATCTTAACTTTAACAAAAGTCTGTTGTAAAGTACAAGATCAAACGCTTTACCAAAGTCAAGATAGATTACATCAATAAATTTCTGGGATGCTATGGAGGAAGAAATGATATCAAAAGTTTCTATTAGGTTAGTTACGCATGATTTATGATAAAGGAAGCCATGTTGATTTGCAGAGAGCATTTTATTACCGTTAATGTGCTTTAAAATTTTGTTCTTTACAAGTTTTTCGAAGACTTTACAGGCAATAGATGTTAGTGAAATAGGTCTATAGTTTTCAGCAAGTAATTTGTTTCCCTTTTTTTTATAGATCGGACTAATATTTGCTAATTTCCATTGACTGGGTACTACTCCAGAATTGAAGGATTCATGAAAGATTTTTGTTAATGGAATTGCAAAGCTTTTGGCACATATCTTGAGTATTAAGGGATGCAGGCCGCCAAATCCGAAGGATTTATAAGGGTTTAGATTAGCAAGTTCCTAAATAATATCTGGGATAGAGAAATCCAAGTTTTCATTATAAATGCATTCAGAATGAATACCACTTTTATTTAGCAAAGGAAAATTTTCAGAGCTTTCAAGTATAAACATAGATTCAAATTGAGAGTTCAGAAAATCAACTATATCATTAAGAGTTTCAATAATTCTGCCAGAAGTATCTTTTAGAGAGCGATTTCGATCTTTAATTTTTAGTTTTTTGTTGATATATTTGTAAACGAGTTTTGGGTTGTTTTGGGAATTTGATCTTATTTCTTTTTCATGTGCTTTTTTTGCTTTAAATATTTCAGCTTTTACTGAACGATTAAGTTGATTGTATTTTATTTTAAGCTCACTATTCTCCTCTTTGGTAGAGCAGTTAATATGCCAAGCGGATTTTTTTGCTCGGATCAGGTTTTTAATATGTGGGGTAACCTAAGGATCATACTTTTTTTTTGTTTTATTAACCTTGGGAATAAAGTATGTGCAAGCAGTGCGATAGTTAGAAGTTAGTATATTGAACATTTGATCTGCAGTTTTATGCAGAAATAAAAACTCCCAGTGGATTGATGCAATAAAGTTAGATATTGAATCGTAATCACCTTTTTTGTAATTAAACGATTGAGATTCACTTTCGGTGAACAGTTCTGAAACTAAAAATCTCCAAGTGATACTAAAATGACCCTTAGTGTTATTACCTAGTATAGTACTAGGAGACAAGTTTAAAATAGAATTACTGTTGTAGGTAAATAACAAGTCCAACATATTATTTGAGGAACCATAATCAATCTGGAAAATAGGAAATGTGATATGTTGCGTAAAAAGGCTGTTTTGGAAAATATTCCAGAAATCATACTCGGTAGGATTGTTTGGGTTAAAAGATATAATTGGCAATAACAATTTTAACATAATTGGCAAAAACAATTTTATCGATATGTATTAAGCGTAAAAGGATAAATAATAATAATATAAAAAAATTAAAAAATTAAAAAAAAAAAAGAAGAAAAAAGTTAACAACTTTACATAGTAAAATACTACTGCATAGTAGACCTTAAAGTGGTAATTTATGTTTTATAAAGTTGCCTTTTAAAATTTTAGTTAATTTTATATTCTAAAAGTACTTGATGAACAAACTTTTTTAAGTCTTCTGCGAGTTTCCTTACAACTACACAATTTATTTAACTTAGTTATTTAAACCCACTGTCAAACGCGCACGCGAAAAACTATTTATTAAGGCGTTGTAAGTATGTGTGGTGTTATAACCGTTTTTTGTGGTATTGTGCATATATATAAACTGGAGATATGTAAATATTGTTTTTTTGAAATATAGAAACAGAGATCATAAATAACTATTAACAATGTTAATTTGGGTTTACGATTCACTTTTATTTGTTAAGCTGTCTAGTGCTTGGTAGCATGTGCAGTAGGGTGTCCCAAAAAAAAATTTTTTTTGCACGCATGTTTTTCCCATTCCTTTATGTCTACTGAGTTCATATATATGGCTGAAAAGTTTTTCTGAGGTCAATTTCAGCTATATGTAAAATCTCAATTTCTTAATTTTTGATAAAATTTGAGCTTTTTTTTACCTTTTTTTAGATTCCAACAATTTTACTTTTTTAATGTTCGTTACCCTAGAGAATTTAGAAAACCAATGTTTTTAGACTATATAAGAATAAGTCTATCTGGCCTATTTGGTACAGAAGGTTCATTCGAGCATGATTTACAGAGGGGGTTGATAATGATGACTAGTTGAGGAACCTTTGTGTTTTATGTATATATATATATGTATATATTTTGTTTTAACAGGATTTTGTCTATTCTTTTGATTTTAAGCGCTTATAGTAATAATTAGAAGTTAAATATGAACTTGTTTTTTCACATATAACTATGTCATAGTTATGAATACCTTCAATATACATTTATTTACTTGAAAATTGTATAGTTAAATGTAATTTTTTTAGGGGGACACAAGAAAAAATTTTTAAAAATTTTATTTTAGCATTAACTAATAATAAAAGTATTAAATAAAATGGGTCGTACTCAAAAAAACAAAAAAATAAAGGCTGAGAAGAGAAAGTACAGCATGTCAACGAATCCAAGAAGGCTGTTGTTTCTTCTAAAGTACACAATCAATAAGCTTCCAATAAACCAGCTGGCAACCATCGGAAATATCCTGAGATACATTCAGTTTCTAAAATCTCCTAGGTAGAACAAATAATTATTATTTTATATATAAATATACTATAAAACAATGATAAAATTTAAAAATGATCTATTTTATGCAATACATATTTAATCTAATTTATCTCCCCCCTAACATTTAAAATGAGACACAATGAGGCAAAAATTTTATGTGAGAACAAAAAAACCATAATGATAAATACTTGTCTATTTTTATTTTAGATCAATATGATTTCAATCTACAAATTCGATAGTAGCCTGCCCTCAAAAGCACGAGAACAGGGATTTGATCTGCAAAGATAGTTTCTGCAAGAATTCTGAACAATGATGTGTTGCATCCGCTGTAATAGACGCTTGGAAGAAAGCAGGGTTTCAAGATTTTATCATTAGTGGATCCATTGTCAGAGATAAAATACTGAAGCTCCATAGTAAGTACATAAATCTGCATCATCTCAAATCATTGAATTGGAACTCTAGCGATGGCAACTTCTCTAAAATACAGAATGAGTTTTTAGAGGAGAGTAATACACTCTTTGACATTTCATTGGCAAATTTTGAACAAAAAGTAAATCAGGATCGTTTTTGTTCGGAGAATGCTAAGAAGGAGGATATTAGGTTTTATCTAGATCAAAAAAGAGAGCGAAACATGTATATTACAGAAGAGTTGGATAAAGTATTACAAAATTCAGTTAAAAATAAAAATATTCGGCTCAAGAGGATGGAGGAAGCAAGAGATAAAAGTAGTATCACAATTAATGCAGTAAAATCCAACAAACTTGGAGCTTTTTTTTATTCATTTGGAAATGATTCTGAATCGGAACTTAGTTTAGATTCTTCAGATGATGAAAAATTACCTAATAGATTCAGTCATTCTACTAAATCTAAGATAATGATAAGTATAAGTGCTGAAGATCTGGTAGACTGTACTGCTGCAGTTTCTGCCCGATTCA